ACCTATGATGGGGCTGGAGCAATAGTACAGCGGGTAGGGTGCTTGCCTTGCACATGGCCAACCCGGGTTTGATTCCCAGCATCCCATATGGTGCCCCTGAGCACTGCCAGGAGTAATTCCTGAGTGCAGAGATAGGAGTAACCCCTGAGCATCTCCGGGTGTGACCAAAAAAGCAAAAAAGAAAAGATAGTTGTAGAGGTAGAGTAGTGAAGTACTGGGCTACTGAGAATATCCGTTTAACGGTGGGGTGTGGTTGAATCTGCCTCTCGAGGGTGCCCTGGGAGTTTTTAGCTGTGGAAACCAGTGTTTCCATAAATCTTAAATGCTTGATGTACATCTCCTTGGAGATAATCAGTAGGATAAGGCTGATGGGTAAGGCAACAAGGTTCTGGGAGTGAGATGTGCTGGAGTCCATTGGAAAACACCAGAGTTCTTAGTCTGGGTACTGACTAGTAAAACTGTCACTGTCACTGTCCTCCTGTTGTTTATCGATTTGCTCGAGCGGGCCCAGTAACATCTCCATTGGAGACTTTTGTTGTTACTGTGTTTGGCATATCGAATACATCATGGGGAGCTTGCCAGGCCCTGCCGTGCGGGCGAGATACTCTCGTCTTGCCAGGCTCTCCGAGAGGGGTGCAGGAATCGAACTCGGGTCGGCCATGTTGGCTGCGTGCAAGGCAGTCGCCCTACCGCTGTGCTAGTAAAACTGTATAGATGAAATTTATTTGGAGTTAAATTTGAAAGAATGTTAGAAACAAAAGAGTCATTCATGCATTTATTTTATTTTTATGTATTTGTATCCTTTATGAGGTCTTCAGCCAAACAATGTCCCTAGGAGGACTCTTCATTGAGGTATCTGGAATACTTAGGTTGTAGTGAATTAAGTTGAATTGAGTTAAATTGAAAATAAAGGGGCCAGAATAATAGTACAGTGGGTAGAGTGGTTGTTTTGCATGTAGCTGACCTGGCATCCCATATGGTCCACTGAGCACCACCAGGAGTAATTTCTAAGTGCGGAGCCCAGAGTAACCCCTGATCATCGCCCAATGTGACCCCCCCACCCCCACCAAAAAAGAAAAAAGAAATCCAAAGCAGTGCACTGAATTTGTCCAATGGTCTATAATTATACACTGTTCTAGACTGTTGCACATTTACCTCTTTCACGATAATGAGGAAAATGGTAATTTTTAAGACTATAATCTAAGGAGCCAGAGACACAGGACAGGAGGTAAGGTGCTTGTTTTGCACCTTACCTCCCACCCTTGTTTGATCCTCAGCATCAAATATAGTGATTCCGGAGAGCTATCAGGAGTAACCCTGAATGCAGAGCCAGAGTAAACCCTAAGTATTGCCACGAAAACAGAACAGACAGTAGCAAAAAGACTATAGGTGCTTTGATATCTATTGCTACTGGTTGCTTAATGATTCTGTGACTTGGCAAAAGTAATGCGTAACTGTACTAGATATATGGGGAAGTCATACCTGGCTGTGTTTTGAAGTCCTGAGTCTACTTCTGGTTGGGTATATTGCCAGAACATGTAGTGACTGGGATGGGATCTAGGGCCTTGCACATACAAGGCATGTGGTCTCCGCTTAAGTCATGTCCCCCAAATCATAGATAACAGTGTTTTGGTTTTCTGTTGGCTTTTTTGGGTCATGCCCAGTGATGCTCTTGGCTCTATACTCAGGAATCACTCCTAGTGGTGCTTGGGGGAACCATATAGGATGCCAGGGATCAAACCCCAGTCGGCTGCAGGCAGGGCAAATGCCCTACCTGCTGTACTATCTATCACTCCGACCCATAGATGTTTTTAAAAAGAAAAAAGAACTGGGGGCGGGGGGGATGGCGAACCTGGAGTTACTCAGGGTTTATTTCTGGCTTAACTCAGGGATCACTCTTGATGGGGCTCTGGAGATTGTTATAAGGCATTGGGGATCAAACTTGGGTTGGTTGGCCTTGTGCAAGGCAAGCCATCTTAGCTGCTTTAGTATCACTGTCACTAAGGACCCAGAAAAAAAATTTTTAAAACAGTAAAAGATATTTTTTAAAAAGCCTCAAAGAGGGGCTGGAGCGATAGCACAGTGGGTAGGGCGTTTGCCTTACACGCAGCCAATATGGCCGACCCGGGTTCGATTCCCAGCATCCCATATGGTCCCCTGAGCACTGCCAGGAGTAATTCCCGAGTACATGAGCCAGGAGTAACCCCTGAGCATCACAGGGTGTGACCCAAAAAGGAAAAAAAAAAGGAGCATGTGAGAATAAAATGTAATGTGTAATCCAAGCTGGGATCATGGAACAGGATAAAAAATCCTGATCACTTTATGAAGACACTTAGAATATCAACATTTGATGATATAATTATACAGAGTCTTTGCCTGCCTGCTGATAATTTTTTATTCACAAGGGCATATCTCATTAGGGATAATAATAAAATTACTGTATTTTAGAGTTATGTGGAGGAGTCCATTTTGCAGGTTTGGTAATATCACCAATTGGAATAGTGGATTTGGGATTTTTCTTGCCTTAAATCATTTTTCTTTATTTTTGAGCCATACCCAGCTGTGCTCAACTCTTATCCTGGGGTCTTTGCTCAGGAATCACTCCTGGTCCCAGGGATCAAACCCAGATTGGCCATGTGCAAGACAAGCGCCATATCCACTATTTTCTCTCTCCAGCCCATAAATTCATTTAAAAAAAAATTTAATCTCTGAGAGATTGCTCCTTTAAGATTAAAATGTATCCTATAATTAAATAAATTATTTACATGATTTTATAGTCCACTTATAGTAATCTTTTTCTTTGGCTTGTTCTTTCCATACTTTCAACTACTGTAGTCATCATTGACCTGTGGGCTCTATGGAAATTAATGTACAGCCACTTTCTCAAGTCACCATTGACCTTCCTTTTAAATTAAAGCACAATCCTGTTAGGATGATTCTGCATCCAGAGTTCCTGAATTCAACTGAAGCTGTGACTTTGAGGATGCTTTGGTCTTGGGTTTTTTTTTTTTTTTTTTTTTTTGGTCACACCTGGCGATGCACGGGGGTTACTCCTGGCTCTGCATTCAGGATTACCCCTGGCGGTGCTCACAGGACCATATGGGATGCTGGGAATGGAACCCGGGTCGACCATGTGCAAGACAAACGCCCTACCCGCTGTGCTATTGCTCCAGCCCTGGTCTTGTTTCTTAATTACCCAATACTCATGTACTGTGACTTCATGTGGCCTGGTTGCAGCCTACACTTTGGATTCAGAATGGGTTTTGGTGGTCCTTGAGGAACTTTGTGGCACCGCAGGTTGAATCGGGAGCTTCCACATTAATACCTGGAGTTCCAGATCTTTGAAATACTTCTTTGGCCCCCAGAATGTTTCTTGAATCTGTAGTATGATAATGAGTCAGGTAGGCAGCTTGACTATTTAGTTTATTGGATCTTGGGCAAAGAGACAGTTTGAAGTCTTGGGAAGTATTTGTTACAAGTATTGGCCTATAAGGGAACAGACTGTATCCAGATTTTACAGCCTCATCATAAGGCTGTAAATGGTGGATACTACTGTTAGGGTGGGGGCTTAAACCTCGCTGTGCTCAAGGGTTATTCTAGACTTTGTGCTCAGGGGTCACTCCAGACAAATGGGGGACCCAGTGATATGCTGGGGCAAACACCATACCCACTGTACTCCCTCTCTCTGGTCCTACCTTTATTAAATTTAGAACTTTCACCCTAAACTATAAAGGGTGAACCAGACAGGACAGGTCAGAGAATCCTATAGCAGTGTGCAAATTGGATACTGCTTTAGTGTAAATTAATTTTTCTGTATCTGTTTTGTAAGGAAGGGAAGGGATGAAATTCTTTAGATTTTTTTTTAATTTCTGTTTTGGGACCACACTTTGTGATGCTCAAGGATTACTCCTAATTTTGCACTCTGGAATTACTCCTGGCAGGCTTGGGAAACCATTTGGGAGGTCAGGAATTGAACCTGTATTGACCTCATGCAAGGCAAGCACCTTACTCACTGTACTATACTATATCCAAGAGTGAAATTATTTAGACATCTACAGGTCTTCTCAGTTGATCAGGTGCAGTAAAAAGGGTGAAAATACTGAGGTAATTGAAAAACAGAATCAAAATAGAAAGTCTCTTATTAAATGAATAAAAGGAAAAAAACTAGTTTTGTGGGGGATGTTTGTGGAAGAGAACCCAGGTTGTTAGTGAGAAGGTAACATGATGCAGCAGACATTGTAGGAATCAGTATGAAAATCTTCAAAAACTAAAAAGTTTATGTGATCATTGTTCAAATTCTGGATATTTACCCAAAGAATAGGAAGAAAAACATAACTTCAGAGAGATACATGTACATCCATGTTCATTACGACATTATTTATAACAGTCAAGAGCTGGGAATAACCCAAGTCCCCAGCACAGGTGATTAGATATAGATGTATAATAATGCAAATATTATTCAGCTATTAAAAAATGATAAAATCATGGGGCTGGAGCAATAGTACAGTGGGTAGGGCACTTGCCTCATATGTGGCCAACCTGTGTTCAATCCCTGGTACCTCTTGTTGTCCCCTGAACAATGCCAGGAGTGAGCCCTGAGCACCACTGGGTATGACCTTAAAAAAAAAAACAAAGATGAAATTCTGTCTTTGCTCCAGTGAATTAGACAAAGACAGCTTAATACCTTATGAATTCACACATGAGTTATATATAAAGAAACAATGAGTAGGCTAAATAAAACAAAAATAGGTGTAGACTAAGACAAATTTAGTCATTATTGGAAGAGGAGTGGGTAAATGAGGAAACGGTATCAGTTACATTGAATGATAGAGTTGGGCTTATGTGATATGCTTATTGTAGACATACAGATGACTTACAATGATGCACATCTGAAACAATGTTGATTTTCATTTAAAAGATCTTGAATACTATTAAACTATGAATATACCTGTTCTCCTAGTTTCCTTTTTCTTCTCTGACTCTGTCTTCTTAGGACTCCGCTTCTCAACAGGAAGAAGCCAGAGGACTAATTCTAAGCCATGTCCCAAGTGAGTTGGTATTTCTTCTTTCATTTTTAAAAGTGACTTTTCAAGTATCCTTAACTCCAGACTTTCTGCTTCCTTGAGCCCTATTCACAGCTCTCCTACTCACTCCCTTTCAGTGAGTGATAAGAATTCAGTCTAGACCTTCCTCAACATCCTTTCTGGAAATCATTTGTATTTGAGGAAAGACTAGAATCCCTTCTGTCAGAATGTGGTTTAATAAGATGGGACTACACATGCAAATTTTATCTTTCTCATCTGAATTTTCAGGTTACTATGTAAATTGCTATTGGTATCAGAATGTGATTTTTGTGATGTCTTTAAGATTAGGAATGTAATCAAATATAAGATTGAGAATAAAGAAGTGTCAGGCATTATGCCTCAGAGATCAGTACCAGCCACACGTCTGTTTTGAATTTGAATGTTATGTGTAAGTCAAAGACCACATTTCTGTGAGTCTCACTGATCTTTCAGTAACTTATTTCTTATGTTGTAACAGAATTTGCTTAAGCAATCACACCAACACCATCTTAAGGCGAAAAAACACTTGAGTTTTAATTATTAATATTGATGAGCCACAATTAGGCTAGAATTGCAGCAGCCCAGAGATGGGTTACAGAGCACTTTATATAGGAAAATTTCTGGCAACATAGCACACTTGTGGTACAAAGAAGAGCCAAAGAATGGAGTTCCTTGATTTGTTACACAGTGGCAATACAGTCAAGGCAGGAGATCATGGGATTGGCAACAAGCCCTTGTTGCTAGGAATCTTTGTATTGAGTACATTCTGTTGAAGTTTCATATAGTCACCTGTTTCTGTGCTCCCCACCCCCATTTCCCTTGCCTAGGCAACCAGGTTGGTGTTTCTCTTCTGTACTGGTCAGCTTTATGATTTATGACCCATCATCTCTGCCCAACTCTCTGAATAGGTCCACTCAGAGGTTCTGCCCCTAGTTTCCTGCATAGTTTTACTTGCTTAGTTATTTAACTTCCCACTATTACAACAATCCCTCAAGAAAAAGCATTTCTTAAATCATGAGAATCTTGCACATGCAAGGAAGCTCACAAAAATGGAGAGAAAGATAGACTGTGTGCTGGACCAGTAAACATACCTCCATAAAATTAAGAGGATGGAAGTTGTATCAAGGATCTTTTCAGACCGTGATGCATTGAAAATAGAAGTGAATCACACAGAAACAAATTCAAATCAAAAAATGGAGAGAAAAACTGCACATTAGAATAAACTAAAATATAAATGATCTATGATGAATGTTACTATGATCATCTGAATGGTTGAGAATTTTAGAAACGGTTGTGAAGGATGTAGGAGAAAGAGAAACTGCCACAAAATAAAGCAATCATGCATGTTATAGAGACTCTTACATAGCCTTTCTAAAGCTACCACAGTGTTTCCCAGGACAAACCAAAATATTAATGCTGAATTCTTTGGAGACTTAATTTAAGAGAAATTCTTGTTTGTTTTTGTGCCACATTCTGCAGTGTTTAGGGCTTACTCTTGGCTTTGTGCTCAGGAATCACACCTGATGGGACTTGGGGGACCATATGTGGTGCCAGAGATCGAATTTGGGTCAGCAGTATGCAAGGCATGTACCCTACCTACTGTAATACAGCTTCAGATCCTGAACAGAAATAATTAAGCATAAATGTTATTTTCTAAGTTATAAGATATTTTGGAATATACCTATCAGGTATATATTTCCTTTACTTTTCTCCCTACCCCCTTTATTGCACTTGACCTTTTCTCCTACCTCCCCTTTTGTTTTAGGTTTGCAGGAAAAGGAGATAAAGGAATTTATATATGAATGTATTCGGCAATTTATTTGCATGTGCTGTCTTGCTCTTATTTAATCAGAAAACACAACTGCTGACTTTTATTTACTCCTGTACATATTCCTTGAAATCTGTTTTGGTGTTCTGTAGTTATTATTCTTACATTTATCATATTTACTGTTCCCTATATTCATGACTTACTATTCCTTTCCATTACATCTCAGGCTTCTGGCTTCAACATATTACTCACTGTTTCGGTTTCTTAACATAAGACCTACCTTCTTCTTATAAAGAATATTTATTTATTTCACCTGGGTAAAATTTCAGAGGTTGCTGGTGTTCAAGGACGTGGCCATAATCTTCTCTAAGGAAGAATGGGGGTACCTGGACTTGAAACAGAAGAATCTGTACAGAGAAGTAATGTTGGAGAATTACAACAACCTGGTCTCATTGGGTAAGCTTGTTGCTCCCAGATTAACTTAAGTCTTTGTGAAATTTGAGAAACTTGAAGTTCTGTAGCTGAATGTCAGACTATTAAGCAAATAGTTATTTGTGCCATACAGACATTGAAATTAATTGCTCCATTGAGCTTTTTTTTTCTCTTTTATTTTTTAGATATTCTTCCTCTTAAGTTTTTCTGCCATTGGTCTTACTTGATGAATAATAGACTCAATTTTAATTCTTAACAAGCAGAACATAACCATATTAATTTCCATTTCTCTAAGCAGGACTTTCCATCTCTAAGCCAGATTTGCTGTCTTTATTGAAGCAAGGAAAAGAGCCCTGGAAGGTGGTGCAAGATATGACAAGAGGGCAGAGGCCAGGTGAGTGCTATGATAATTGAGAAGAGTTGAATTACTTAGGTTTGCCACATCTTTGAGATAATAGTTTGCATCTTATTTTTATTTATTTATTGATATTTGGGCCATACCCAGCAATGCTCAGGGACTACTCCTGGCTTTGCACTCAGGAATTACTCCTGGCAGTGGTCAGGGAGTCCACATGGGATGCTGGGGATTAAGCCTGGATTGGCCACGTGCAAGGCAAATATCCTCCATGCTGTAGTATCCTCTGGCCTCAAGCTTGCATCCTAAAAATCAATTTAGGCCATTTACTCTTCAGTTAATGAAGTAGAAACTTGAATCTTGGAAGACAAAACTCGTTTCGTAAAAGTTACCGAAGTAAACCTGTATTTTGTCCCATTTATCACTTCCCTCCTTTCCTTTATTTTCACTTTATTTTCAGTGATTAGCTTTCCTTTCAAACCTTTTTACCATTTTATCTTTTTTATTCAGTGTAAACTGTATAGTAATTATTCATACATATATTTTAAAGACTCTGAATTTCAAGTATTGCATTTAGATCAGTGAGCACAACTTTCTGACCTTTTTAGACCCTTATAGTGATAGTGACATTATATGCAAAGAGTGGCAAGTGTTACAAAACAGAACAGAGTTTGTAGAGAATGCCAAGATAGTGAAGTGAGGTGTTTCTTATATAATGCTTAGATATAAGGAGAAACATGAATAGAGAAATGGAGAAGGCCATGCAAATTTTGGGAGAAGAACATTTGAAAGATGGAATAGCAGTTGCAAATGAACTGAGGTAGTTTATGAATTTAAAGCTTTTATGAATCAGCTGATAAATGTGGCTTGGGAGAGTAGGTTATTTGGAGGTAATATATCAGTGTAATCTCACTAATGATAATGTGTTGCACTTCAGAGGAAAATTAAGGGAAATGAAGGCAAGGAGAGAGAGCATGTGGATGATCCTTGAACTTAACCCACAGTACTCTAAAAAAAATCTAGTAATTGAAAATACAAAAATGTGGCTGGATAGATATAGCAGTAGGGTGCTTGCATTAAATGCTGCTGACCCAGGCGCAATTTCTGGTACCCCATGTTGTGTACTATTCCTCCTCTCCCTCCTCTCCTCTCCCTTGCCTGGAGTAAGTTTTGAATACAGCTGGATTTGACCTCCACTGTAGCCCTCTCCCTTTATTCATCGATTTGCTCAAGCGGGCACCAGTAACATCCCCATTGTGAGACTTGTTACTGTTTTTGGCATATTGAATATGCCACGGGGAGCTTGCCAAGCTCTGCCATGCTTGCGGGATACTCTCAGTAGCTTGCCGGGCTCTCCGAGAGGGAAGGAGGAATCGAACCCGGGTCGGCCGCTTGCAAGGCAAATAAATGCCCTACCCGCTGTGCTGTCGCTCCAGCCCTAAAACCACAAAAAACTTAAAAGGTGGGAGGAGGGGCATGAGCAGTATGATGGGTTGGGTTGCTTGCCTTGCAGTTGACCTGGGCTTGATCCCCACATTCCATGTGGTCCTCTGAAAACTGCCAGAAGTAATTCCTGAGCTCAGAGCTAGGAACAACCTCTGAACATTGCTGGTGTGGCCCCAAAACCAAAAATATTTGTATCATGTATAATACTTAGGCCATGTATCACTGTATGCCAAGTAAATAATTCTTCTTATCTGAGGAATTAATGAACTTTACTCTTTCTTTTCTCTGTATCATTTACTAAAAGAATGTATCTTTCATTTGAGTTGCTAGCTTTATGATAAATTTTGATTTATAGTAATATCTATTTCTGAAGTTTTATTTTCTGCTGCATTGTTTTCATTGACATGAGTCTGATACTTAGTTTGAGTATGTTGTTACTATGTTAGATGTTTTACCTTTCTAGTAATAAAAAATAGTGCTTGTTTACTTTCCTCTTATCTTACAGGCTGGGAATCTAGGTATGAGACCAACAACCTACTTTCAAAAGGAGTGTATGAACATAAAGCATCTCATGAGGAGACAGCAAGCCGTACACTTCAACAAAATAGGAAACGTAAAGATAATTTTGAAAGCCAATTAGGAGATAAAGAGGAATTCGTTAGGCAACTAATGATCACTGGTGAAAAAACTCGTAATTGTAAGCAGACGACATCCCTTACATTGCAACAGAGAAATTCCTCTTCTGTGAAATCCAGTGAATGTCAGGAATGCAAAAAATACTTTATTAATGGCTTTAAGCCAACTGATCACCAGAAAATTAATTCTGAGGAAAAATACTATGAATGCAAAGAATGTGGAAAGTTTTTTCAGGGTACTAAAAAAACTTATGATTGTAAGGTATGTGGAAAATCCTTTTTTTGTGCCTCACAACTTATTTATCACAAAAGAGTTCACAGTGGGGAGAAACCTTTTCAATGCAAAGAGTGTGGAAAGGCCTTCATTCGTGGCTCTCATCTTACGCAGCATCAAAGAATTCATTCTGGTGAAAGACCTTATGAATGTAATGAATGTGGGAAGGCCTTTTTTCGTGGCTCACAACTTACTTACCATCAGAGAGTTCATACTGCAGAGAAACCCTATCGATGTATGGAATGCGGAAAGGCCTTTATTCGTGGGTCCCAACTTAATGAACATCAGCGAATTCACACAGGCGAGAAACCCTATAAATGTAAGAAATGTGGAAAAGCCTTTAGTTATGGCTCGCAGCTTACACTGCATCATAGACTTCATACTGGTGAAAAGCCCTATAAATGCAAGGATTGTGACAAGTCCTTTATTCGTGGCTCACAACTTACTGAACATCAGAGAGTTCATACAGGTACCAAACCACATGAATGTAAACAGTGTGGAAGTACTTTTAACTATGAATCTCAACTTCTTCGACATCAGAGGATTCACACAGGTGAAAAACCCTATGAATGTCAGGAATGTGGAAAATCATTTGTTCGTGGCTCACAACTTACTGAGCATCAAAAAATCCACACTGGTGAAAAACCTTTTGAATGTAAGGAGTGTGGGAAGGCCTTTATTCGTGGTTCACATCTTACACAGCATCAAAGGATCCATACTGGTGAAAAACCTTATGAATGTAAAGAGTGTGGGAAGGCCTTTATTTATGGCTCGCAGCTGACTCAGCATATGAAAATTCATACAGGTGAGAATCCTCATGAATGTAAGCAGTGTGGGGAGATTTTTATTTATGCATCACAACTCACTCTACATCAGATTTTTCATACTGGTAGAAAACCATATGAGTGTAAGGAATGTGGCAAGGTTTTTATTCGTGGTTCACAGTTAACTTACCATCAGAGAGCTCATACTGGTGAGAAACCCTATGAATGTAATATATGTGGGAAGGCCTTTATTCGTGGTTCACATCTTACACAGCATCAAAGAATTCATACAGGTGAGAAACCATTCAAATGTGACGTGTGTGATAAGGCTTTTAATCGTGGCTCCCAACTTACTCAACATCAGAGAATTCATTCTGGTGAAAAACCTTTTAAATGTAATGAATGTGGTAAGAACTTTAGACGTCATTCACACCTTACTCAACATCAGAAACTTCATAATGGAGAAAAAGTATGAAGACACTAATATAGTAAATTCTTCGCCTGCTTACCTACTTTGGAATATAAAAAATAACAGACTGAGTGGGGGAATCCTTTATAATTTTCATAAGTAATTCCCATTAGAGACTTAACAGTGAAGAAAAGCTAGATGACTATAAATGTGGAGTTGTTTACATCATACTCCAACCCTATTAGACATTAATACATGTGTTTACCTCCCTGAATTGTAGTGTTATCTGATCAGGTATCATTTCTTTTTCAAGATCATCTATGTTACAAGATTTATTCTTTGTGTGTTTTGTTGGGAAAATTACTTTTATTTGCTTTATTTCCTTATTTATAAAACAACAACATACACCTCACTAAAATGTTTGGTTTTAAAAGGATAAACATAACGAATGTACTAATTATGCTCATTATGTTATTTTAAACATTTTTAAAGGAAAGCTATACAAGATACAAGTGCAGAATAGTATACATCTCTTTTAAAGTATCAGGTAAATCATTTTGCAGCAAAACTAATAAGCGTGGAGCTGTACCATGTTCTGAACCATAGCAATTTTAGAGAAAATTGCAAGGGAAAATAAAAAGCTGCTAGAGAATATTTGTATAACGAGGTTTGTGAGGTTTGTGTGACTATAAATTTCCATTCTTCCTGAGGTCGTAAGCTCTTACAAGTGATTTCTGTGTCTTACAGTAAATGCATGTTTTCTCTTATAATAAATGGATAAGCTGTTTTCCAAAGCAGCTATGCTTTAGATTCACACGTGACCGGTTTCTCTGTGTTTCCACAGTTTGATATTTACCACATTATCTTGTTCTGATAGGTATGTTGTAATACCTCCTGTGGTTTTTAATTTGTGCTTCACTTATTACAGGTTTACGTTATTTGAAGTAGTGATGTACTTTCATCTACATATCCAGTTTGGTGAAGTGCTTGTGTCTTTTTACTTTTTTTTTCTATTGGATTTTTTTTTTTTCTTTTTGGGTCACACCTGGCGATGCACAGGGTTTACTCCTGGCTGTGCACTCAGGAATCACCCCTGGCGGTGCTCAGGGGACCATATGGGATGCTGGGAATCGAACCTGGGTTGGCTGTGTGCAAGGCAAAGACCTTACCCGCTGTGCTATTGCTCCAGCCCCTCTATTGGATTTTTGAAAGGGTGTGTCCTGTATTTGACATAAATATTAGTCCTTTGTTGGCTTCATGCTTTTCAAATATTTTTCTCAGTAGTTCACTTTTTATCCATTGACTTTTTTCTTTGTTTTTGGGTTACTTTGGCTGTGCTTAGGACTTAATCCTGATTCAGAGCTCAGGGATCATTCCTACTGGGACGTAGTGGGTGGGGGATTCAACTGAATTGGCTGTACTCTCCTGCCACGAAGAGCAAGTTTTTGTTTGTTTGTATTTTTTTAAATGCATATTACAATTCCCCTTTTTTATTTTTTTTGGGGGAGGGGCCTAATTGACAATGCTCAGGTCTTAACTCAAGGGAAGAGCAAATTTTTAATGTTAATAATTTCATATCAAATTTCATATCCATAAAAGAAAATTTTGATAAGATACCAATTATTGCCAAGCCTAGTTACCAAAGATTTTCTTTGATGTTTTTGCCAAAATTTTACATTTAATGTGTATGATCATTTTTAGTTATTTGCATGCATTGTAAGCTTTAGATTGATTTTCTTTAGTTTATGCTTGCTCAGTTCTGGTACCATTTGTTGAAAAGACTGTCTTTTCTTCTTGTATCCTTTTGTGCCTTTTAAAAAAGTCTTGGCGGGCAGGACGCTTGCCTTTCACATGACCGACCTAGGTTCAATCCCTGGCATCCTATATGGTCCCCAAGCACCAACAGGAGTAATTCCTGGGTGCAGAGCCAGGAGTAACCCCTACTCACCGAGTGTGGCCCCAAAACAAGACAAAACTAACAAAAAAAACCCCTTAGATAAATTTGTCAGGGTTTTTTTTTTTGGGGGGGGGCGGTGGTTCTTATATCATTTTAATCTGTGACTGTCCTTGATTATTGTCACTATATACAGTGTCATTATTGGGTATAGTGATTCCTTTCACTTTCTTTTTTGAAAATAATTACTGTTCTAGATCTCTGTTTCATAAGACTTCTAAGATAAATTTACATTTAAATATATCTATAAAATTGGAATTTAATTTGAGTTCTATTCTGAGAACTTGCTGTATTTTTGCATCAGTAGGTCTTTGTGTTCCTCCTCAAATATTGCATCCTATTTTTCATATCACTGTGCACTTACAGGGTCTTTGCTGATGTAATCAAATTAAGATGAGATTACAAGAAGTCTGAAGACTGGTGTCCATATTAGAGGAAGGAAATGTGGGCTGGAGCAGTAGTTCAGTGTGTTAGGGCACTTGCTTTGAAAGTCATGTTGGGGGTGGCTCCTACCCTCTACCTCCAGAAAGGAAATGCGGACACTAGAGAATTGGAATCAGAGGTAGTGGTTGGAATAATGTATCTATAAGCCGAAGAACACAGGTTTGCATGTAATCACCAGAAAAACCAAGGGACAAGAAGAATCCTCCCCTAGAAATTTCAGGAACAGAACTTAGTCCTATAAGTTCCTCCCTGACTAGGTGTAACTACTACTTCTACTTTTTAATAAACTTTGTTACGCTTCTTTAAAAAAGGAAAGAAAATAAGCAGAGATAGCATAGCCCTGCCTGTACCTTGATTTTAGATACTTATTTCCCCCAAATGTTTAAACATTTTATTGTAGCCTATGATACTGCTGACAGTCATCTGACTTATTAGGATTTATAATTTTGGTATGCAGCTTTTATATTATGATTTGTAAGTGGATTTTTTTGAAATATTGTAGATGTTTTTTATTTGGTTTTTGCTTACCTGTCATTATATGTATCAATACACATATGTATTTGTATATGTATATAAATACGTGTGTATTTAAATTTAAAATTATTGGCCTTTCTGCAGAACTCACTGATTTTGGAAGGTAATTGTCAGTGAATTTTCTTTGTATACAGTGTTCTCTGAAAGCAAATTTACTCCTTTCTAGACTATATGTTAATGTTTAATAACAGTGTTGAGGGTAGATATTGTTGCCTTGTTCCTGATCTTAGGGAGACATACTCTAAATATGATATCAATTATTATTTTGGGGTGTGTGTGTGTGTGTATTTGAATTTAAAATCTCTGGCCTTTCTGCAGAACTCACTGATTCTGGAAGATAATTGTCAGTGAATTTTTTTATGTACACAATATTCTCTGAAAGCAAATTTACTCCTTTCTAGTCTATATGTTAATGTTTAATAACAGTGTTGAGGGTAGATATTATTACCTTGTTCCTGATCTTAGGGGGACATACTCTAAATATGATATTGGTTATTATTTTGAGGGGGCGGGGTCTGTGTATGTGTGTGTGTGTGTATGTATTTGAATTTAAAATCTCTGGCCTTTCTGCAGAACTCACTGATTCTGGAAGGTAATTTCCTATGTACACTATGTTCTCTGAAAGCAAATTTATTCCTTTATAGACTATATGTTAATGCTTAATAACAGTGTTGAGGGTAGATATTGTTGCCTTGTTCCTGATCTTAGGGGGACATACACTAAATATGGCATCGGTTATTAGTTATTTTGGGATGTGTGTGTGTGTGTGTGTGTGTGTGTGTGTGTGTATTTGAATTTAAAATCTCTGGCCTTCAGAACTCACTGATTCTGGAAGGTAATTCTCAGTGAATTTTCTATGTACACAATGTTGTCTTAAAGAAAATTTATTTATTCTTTCCTAGACTATATGTTAATGTTTAATAATAGTGATGAGGGTAGATGTCGTTGCTTTGTTCCTGATCTTAGTGGGGGACATACATTAAATATGATACTTATTAGTTATTAGTTACTTTGTGTGTGTGTGTGTGTGTGTTTGTTTATGTGCATGCGCACATGTGCTTTGGGATCACGCCCATATGTGTTTCTGGCAGTATTCTGGGGACTAGGAACACGTCTAGATACCAGGGATTGAACCTGGGTCAGGGTCAGCTATGTGCAAGGTTACACTCACACTCCTGTACTATCTAGCTCCTACAATTTTTTTTTTACCACCATTGAAGGATTTTCCCTCTATTCTTTTGTTGAGTTTTATTTTTAATCTTAAATATGTTTTGGGTTTTATCTTCCTGCAGCAGTTGATAATGTTATTTTTCTTCAACTTCATCTGGTTCTTCAACTTAATCTAACCCCAACTTGTGAATCACATTGATTAAATTTTACTTCTTTTGGTTTTGGGGCCTCACCCAGAAGTGCTTAGGGACTACTGCTGACTTGATGTTTGGGAATCAGTTCTGGTGGTGCTTAAGGGACCATGCGAAGCCATGGATACCCCCAGGCTGCCTGCATGCAAAGCATTACTTGACTATCTCTCCAACATTGCCCCCTTGGCCAGGGGCAACAAAGCAAGTTTATTAAACAAAGACCATACAGTTTTTTAGGCATGCATATATTTTTCTATTATTTTAAACAACAGTGATGTTAAAAATTTCTCATAAAATACAGTCAGAATATGATCACCTTCACTGTACCTCTGTATATCACTGTCACTGTCCTCCCGTTGTTCATCGATTTTGCTTGAGTGGGCCCAGTAACATTGTGAGACTTGTTACTGTGTTTGAAATATCGAATATGTCACGGGGAGCTTGCCAGGCTTTGCTGTGCTGGCAAGGTACTCTCGGTAGCTTGCAGGGCTCTCTGAGAGGGGCGGAGGAATAGAACTTGGGTTGGCTGGATCGGCCGCGTGCAAACCCTCTAACCGCTGTGCTTAACGCTCCAGCCCAAATAAAATCTAATTGAGACATACAAAATAAATAGAAAATTTTTTCTTTTATTACATTTGTTTTAAAAAATTCATTGTGAAACTTTATGGTGGGAGGCACAATTGGTAGTGCTCAGAGTGTACTCCTGACTCTGCACACATGGATCACTCCTGGGGGAACGGGGGAAGATATTGTGGTGCTGGGGATCAAGTGTGGGTTGACTGCATGAAAGGCATGTACCCTGCCCACTGTAATACACTTCCAGCAACTCAGTATAAATTTTTGAAGTATTTTATTGAATGTTTTACTTTTAATTCTGAGAAAATGAAAATTACCAAATAGGTCTTTGGGCTTGGGACCTAGGGGGAATATCCAGTGTTCAGGGCTTACTCCTGACTGTATTCAGGAATCCCTCCTGGCTGGGTTTGGGGGCCCATTAGGGGTGCTGGGGACTGAAACCAGGTCACTGTGCAAGGCTAGTGTCCTCCTTACCAGCTGTACTATGGTTCTGGCACCAAATACGTCTTTTATTAAGATAGTCACATTTCAGATCTTAAGCATTATGTGTTGTTTAGAATATCAGTGCTGGTATAATAGTAGTTCTATGAAGATTTGATTTATTATTTAACTGGGCTAAAGAGATACCCCAGTGGAGTAAGTGGATGTTTTGCATGCAGGAGGCCTGGGTTTGATTACCAACCCTGCATGGTCCCCTATCACAGAATCAGTAGTAGCTCTTAATTAAGCACTGCCAGGTCTGGGTTTCCCCATCCCAAAGTTGTGATCTAATTAATTACTCTTGGGGCTGGAGCAATAGCACAGCAGGTAGGGCATTTGCTTTGCATGCGACCAACCCGTGTTCGATTCCCAGCATCCCATCCCAACATCCCATATGGTCCCCTGAGCACCACCAGGGTTGAT